TCCTCAGCAGGCACTGTCCACACATCTTCCACCAGAACTGCGGCACTACTACTGTGTCGACACTCTCAGGTGGTCTAACCTCTGGCAATCTTACCCAACATCAAATTCTGATGGCATGCAGGAGCTAATCAAGCCATCAGGTTAATCAAGCATTCTGAGTAACAACAGAGGTAATCAGCAGCCAGGAAATGGGTTAGGATGAAAGACTCGGCTAGAGAAGGGGGAGGTGGTCAGAGGGTGACCACAGCTGGATAGTCAAAGAACAAGACACCAGGTTCCTATTATAATTCTGAAAAATAATGTTACATATTGATTCCAATAAATGCTTCTAAACGAAGTCAGAGAATTTAAGTGTACTCTTTACTTTGTATCAGCTCACTAAAACCTTTACAAAGTTTTCAGCCTTTCACAAGAAAATGGTACTGATCTCTAAGCCAAAGCTTCTAAATCTTGGCAGCAAAAGAGTTTTTCCTGGAAAGCTTTTATAACTCTAAGGCTTCCGTCTCACACAATCGATTTCAATCTGCTGGTTTCGGATGGGTAGCAGGGCAACAGTGTTTTAAGTCTCCCAGGTGACTGTCACACAGCTCTGAGAGCCATGGCTCTTACACTAGAAATACAGTCACCATCGTGTACTCTGTATCACACACCGTTCTGGGCCCTTTACACACACACGTGCATAAGTGAGAAAACAGACGTCAGGTGCTCCCTACAGATCACAGCAGGCTAATGGCAGACTTAGGCTTTAATCCAGAGCAGTTTTGGTTCCAAACCCATAGCTACATGTTACATTGCCTCCTGAGCATGTTTGAATCATATCTGTATCCTCTGACTATAAATAAAATGATCAAAGAAAAACATAAAACGTTAGAAAATTTACTTCTACCTTCTTAGAAGCAACACAGTAGCATCCTGGAAGTAACCATGTGCATCCTGCATGAGGGTAGCATGTGCACCTTGCACGAGGGTAACCACGAGCATCTTGCACTAAGGTAACCAAGTGCATCTTGCATGAAGGTAGCATATTGCATCTTGCACTAAGGTAACCATGTGCATCCTGTATTAAGGTAACCAATAGGTATTTTTCACTAAGGTAACCATGTGATCTTACATGAAGGAAGCATGCGCATTTTGCATAAAGGTAGCATGCACATCTTCAGAAAGATAGTATGTACATCTTGCATCAAAAAGCATTTGCATCTTGCATGAAGGTTAGCATGAATATCTTGCATGAAAAAGCATGTGCATCTTGCATGAAGGAAGCATGTGCACCTTACATGAAGGGAGCATGTGCTAAAATAAGCAGAGGAGAATCCCCTTCCCAAAAAACGATTCAATTTGAGATGCCTACATTTTCTATAATTTCTCACATCATTTTATGTACTCGCTCTTCAATATTAAGTAAGTATTAAAAACTACTCATTCAAGGGAATAATATATAAGATACACATACACATTAATGTCCTACCTATTTCCGTCCTGCTGACTCCAATTCCATTATAGATTTTCAGGTAATTAAAGTGACAAGAATCAGAATCTTCAATGTCAAAGTCACCAAATTTGATGCGAATTCTTTCTCCCGTCTTTACACGGATTTCCCATTCACATACGGTGCTGTTAGGATAGGTGTGTGGGTAGTTGATGGATGCAAGAGTTCCACTCTCAGGGCCAAGTACAGTGTGTCCACATCCGTCACCTTAAAAAAAATAAAAACAAACAAATCATTCTCCCACCTTAAGTATACATGTAATCAGGATTTTTACACAGACCTGCAGCAATGTATGATGTCAACATGTTAACAGAGCCAGTACTTCCTTTACAAAGTACACAAGAGATGACAGAGTTCTTCGCACATCCACTCACAGGAAGAAGCCAAGAGAAGTGAAGTTAGGTCAAAATCAACAAGGATTACCAAAATTAAAAGTAATAGAATTTGTAAGTTCAAAGGACTTTCCAGTTAAACATACAATTATGCAGTAGTTAAATATACGCCAAAATAAATCCTACTGTTAAGAGACTATCACCATATATTTACAATAACCATTCAAAGTAAATGTACATGTAAAGATGTGGTCAGCTTCACTGAGTTACAAACAGAGCTGCTAAAGTCTCTGAGCAGAAACAGGATTTCTAGAAAACATTTATGCATATGAAGATGTCCCAGACCACTGGCCACCATACAGACAAAAGAAACTAAAGCAAGATCTGGTGACTCTCAATATTCTACTGAATTGAACTGTTTGCCTCTCCTCCCATGTCTTATTTCTCTCTCAATAAAAAGGGGAAAAAAAGTTACTGGCTTACTGGAGATTGGAAAAGAAATGACTTTAATATCTTAGCAACAGGATTTCTTTGATTCAGAAATATCTTCAGCAACTGAGGGTATTAAAAGTTTAATAACAGTATATTATTTGCATCTTAACTTTCTCGCAATTGATGTTCTAACTGAGTGCTCAGGTCATTAACTAAATTTACATTTAAAAGGTTCTGCTGTTGCTCTAAGGTATGTTCAATGTTCAGTAACAATGGGATTCAATGAGCCTCTTTTTGACAGGGCGATGAACGCATCCTTTTAAAAAATGGGATTTGTTTCTTTTAAAGGAACTATTCCCTATCATCTTTCGGAATAGTACAGAACTTATAGAATAACATTAAATTGTTATTCCTGGGTTTTAACTTAATCATTACAGACATGGATGGTGGTAACAGAATTTCCATCATGTTGATTTATTACCTACCAATGCACTATTGATATCGTTCATGAGAACAGATTAAAGATTATAACAGCCTAGTTGCAGGCAGCATGCAGGAAGGGCCAAGTGTGTATTAATTGGATGCAACACAGAAATTTCAATTTCCAAAAAGCAACAGCTACCCGTCTGAACCCTTTAATGACACCTGAAACAATGTGCGGCTTCTGCCCACAGTTTTATTCTCCAGTCCACACTAGCACTGCACACTGGTCTATGTTTGAGTTCAAAGAGACTATAAATAATGCTTCCTAAACAAACACTTCTCATATCAGTTTAGCTTTGAGTCAACATTAAGCTCTATTTTTGACCCCTGCTTTCATTCATACATGAGAACTAACTAGGCATAGTGGCATGACAATATTAAAAAAAAAAGGAAAGAATGAAGTAAATGTGTATGAAATACACCTGATTTTTACAATAAAACGGCCTTTTACATAATCTCTCTCTCTCTCACACACACACACACACAAAAAAAAAAAACCCACTACAATTTCCTCCCAAAGCTACCATAAAAACACCATGACCTTCTCTCTTGGATATCATCTAAGGAAAACCATAAGGCTGTAAAAACCTTCACTGTGAAAATAAACAACTGAACTATAAGTAAGTTTTGAGGAATCATTAACATTTCCCCTTAGAAAGGCAAAAACTACCCTAAAACAATTTCTAACATTTGAAACTAGCCTATGATTTCTGGGAGTACTTCAATATTTAAACAACAATCTCTTGATAATTGAATCTTTGAAAATATGTTATACAGAAGGGAAAGCGCTGACTGGGAAAAATCACCTGCTGACAATCTGTACCTGATGGCAACACAGCATCTCAGTTTATGTATTCCCTGCAGACTGTCATTCAACCTGAGACTGTTATTTTAAAATCAGTGTTACAAGAGTACAAGCAGAGTGTTCAGAGTAATTTTTAGATGTCTTTGTGAGCCTGTTTAGATTTAATAAAATATAAATTGTTTTCTGTCCTTTCCACCATGATGAATGGTTTAAAGTCAACAAAAATAACAATTGATGAAAAGAGGACTTTTGCATGCGCAGTGATGATAAAAGCAATTAAAATGGAGCTGTCTTTTTGCAAAAGCTTGGTGGGGGGGGGACGGAGGGCCCACCCTCCCTCACACAAGAGGGCACAGCCAAGGAGTCTACAGCCGTGTGCCAAGAATGCTCTAAAATATGTGCTGGAGTTCAGCACTCCCTCCTCTCCACGCAGATGATGTGCACCAGAAACCCAAGTTAAAAAGGATGCCTCCAGTCTGTTGCAGTGAACGTTCTTGAATGTTTTACATTTCAAAGAGTGATAAATTTAACCCAAGTAGACAGAATTTGCCATCACCTATGTGTCCAGAACAGCCCAGCTCAAAGGGGCAGTCAGGCAGCGTACCCACAATTAATAGGCCAGCAGCTGCAGGTTTCATGTTGCGTTAAATGAAGAAATACATTTTCCTTGTGACTCTTGGCACTCTGACATGCAGATTCCTGACTAGCTTTGACAGTGTTTCTCAACCCGCGGGTCACGATCCCTGCCCTTTCACGGGGGAGGGGGTCACTTAAGACCATCAGAAATGTGGGTTCCCTAGGAAGGAGACCAGGGACAATCTCTGACATGAACTTGTTTGCCTGCACCTTCATCACTTCCCCATGGCGGGGCAACCTAGCCAGCCCACAGAGGAAGAGGATCCAGGCAGTGCTGATGGGACCTGATAAGCTAAAGTTAAGGCTGTAGGGGAGGAGGACTTCCCCTATCAGTGAACTAGGGAAGAAGGATAGGGAGGAAAGGGAGAGAGGGTGGGACTGCGAGAAGATGAGGGAGGCGGCTAAAACCAGGGTACAATGTGAATAAACTGTAAATAATAATAATAATAATAATAATAATAATAATAATAATAATAATAATAATAAAGAAATATCAGTTATTTACATTACAATTCATAACGCAGTAACATTACAGTTATGGAGTAGCAGAAAAATAACGTTATGTTTGGGGATAACCGCAACATGAGGAACTGTGTAATAAAAGCGTTAGGAAGTTTGAGAACCACGGTACTAGAGGGTCTGCACCTCCATTCTCATGCTCAAAGGTCCCCATGTTAAATTCAAGTCGAGGAAAAATCGTGCCCTTGCTTTCACTTCAAAAGTAGCAATGAGTTTCCTGGTGGTTTTTATGAGTCTTAAAACGAAAGTAAATCTATGAAAACACCTGAAATACATAAAAGTATTTCGAAGTTAAAACCCAAACTTAGAAAAGTATCAAGAGGCCACCTGGCTGGCTGGCAGCAGCGGCTCGGCTCCCAGTGCCTTCCCTCCCACGCAGCTCAGCAATGTTACCAGCAACCGAGGCAGAGGCCGGGAATGCTACTCAAGCATCTCAGGATGAACAGGACAGAGAATGATCGGCCCCAAAACAAAAGTGATGTCGCCGTTCAAGAGTGCGACTTGGGGCCACACTAGAGAATCTTAGACTCGTAGTTGTTGGTTGGGTTCGTCTGGCCAAAGGGCAACGCTGCTCAGCTCACCCAGGGTGCGGCTGGCGCGGAGGGTTGTAGCTGGCCCTTCTCAGTGTTTGAAATAAGTGAATCCTTCATTCTTAAGTTACAGAGAAAACATCTTTCAACTAATCTTCAAATCTCAAATGACGTTCACTGGAGGCTGGGAGCTTCCAGGTTCAGAAGAGAAAGAGGGAAATGCTACAACAGGATCCGTGTGACTGTCCCCGGATTTCCAGACTAGTGTTGTACACTGTTAAACATAATGATCGCTGCCCAGGACACACTACCCACTACACTCGTGTCTGTTTACATGACAGAATTGAGGAAGTTTATCAGAAAACCAAAACCAAACAACATGCCCAAATCCTTCTAACACTGTAGTCCATACACTGTCCACAACATCGCCAACTCTGCGAACACCACCACCATCACTGCCAACTTCCTTCTCTTTCCCTGGATGGTCTCCAGGGAGGACCAACAACTAACGAGAAAGGGTGGGCGCCCGTCATTGTGTACTTTTTATTTTAAACGTATTTCAGTCGGGAAAAGAACACTGGACTTTGATCTGCCGGCTCTTGCACGCAGGGATTACTTAGGGAACATGTGCTCATTTCCTCTGAAGAGTGCAAGGTTGGATGTGTGAAGCCAGATAACAAATTTTGATACTGTTCCAGGAAAATAACTGAATAATTTTCTTTTACTTTTTTTCCCCCTAACAGAAAACATGAAACATATTCAAATGACCATGAAATAATGCTACTAGGAATACAAATCTATTTCTGGCTCTTCTAACCATACTCCAAACTAAGTGTGGTTTACAGACAACTGTGTGCCCTGATGGTAATTAGGTTGAGCCTCCAATCAAGTCATCCTTGTGTATTGGTGATGGGGTTACTAATAAATAAGTTACTGAATTTTAGTAATGGGAGCCCCGTGACTTCTAAAAATGTATCCTTAGCAACAGCAAATATGAATGTGGGAAACCTGTAGGAACTACGCCCCAAAGGGAGCGCAACAGAACTTTCATTACAGCTCATACTTTCCCAGAGTTTTCAAGGACTTTTGGTTTTATCAGTGAAATGGTGAGTCTGACCACACTTCTTCTAAGAGTCACTTACTTTGTCATATCTCAGCACGCATCTGTGACATAGGAAGAAAAACCTCACAGCATTTAGTGACTAGGAGAAAGATCATAAAGAAAAGTTACATCCAGTTTCCTCTGGCTACAGTGAAGTTTTTACCATTTTACTCATAGTGAATTTTCAGACTAGAAGTACTAGACCAACCATAAAATTACCAGGTTTCCTAAGCTGTGTAACATAGCTTAACTTCACTTAGAGCTCTTTGACCCTGGCAACATCCTGTGTTCTGAGGTGAATTCCTTCCGACAGTAACAGTGTTTTTGTTTGTTTGTTTTTTTACTGGTGGTCACATGTTATGTCTTCC